CACTGGATGAGTTTTAAGTCCCTTCCCTTTAACACTGAACAAATGTATTGTTAAGATTACTTTGACAGCAAGACTTTTAATGACACAGTTTCATTGGAGCAGCTGAAACAGAATTTAGCAGTTTAGCATTTTGTTTTGACTGAATGAAGCATTAATTCTCACATCCCATTTCTCCAGAAAACATTGACCTCACTGGAAATCCAACGCTTACCTGCTCTGCTGAGGCCACGCTTGTAGCAACTGAACCTGTCTGTCCTTGAGGTAGTTCCATGTTCAGATCAAGGCTAACAGGAGAAAACAGAGCAAACACCAAGTCAGGCACAGGTGGACCAAGGGGGAAGCACAGTAATTGAAGCAGAGGAATAATGAGACAGCACCCCCTGAACACTCCAGAGTTACACATGCTGGTGAGTAATTTTGACTCACTACCAGGACAAGTCAGGTATGTCCAGAGGTAAAAGGAAAATTCTGTTTTTTCTCTGCTTCCAAGAGACAGATTATGAAACAAGGGTACTTGACCTTAGATATAATCAGCAAGGGTTGTGGGAACCAAGATTTATTCTAAAGAAATGGAAATTTCACCTACCCTGCTTCATCTGCCATTTCCTGCAGGAGCATGTCCACTTGGTTCTAAAGGAAAACAAAATGGTTTGTTGCATTTGGAGTTTCTGACAACCTCTGGTTAAATTTTCAGAGAACAGGAATTATCTTAACAAAACTGATTTAAAGGTAAATGCCTTTGGCAGAATAGTTTTGTGCTTAACCACTAGAAGATATGAACTCAAAAATAAGGAGCAGAGGTGCTCAGCAGTTAAAATGGCATTAATTGAACTCTGGCTTGTAAATAATGCTTCCACAGAATTCAACATATCTGTAGAAAACCCCAAACATATACCTGCGTGTTTCAAGTGCTGTTAATGAACAGTTTAGACACATAATTTAAGATCACCTTGCTAAAATATATTTTATCATTCTTACTTGTGGCGTTGTTAATGTCGTAGTGTTGCTCATTGTGTCTTCCATCTGTTGTGTCTGCACATCCAGTGTCTCAAACTGATGCTCAAATTTGTCCATTAGTGCAGATATCTATGAAAAATATGAATCAAATCACTTATCTTCAGATAACAGTAAAAATACATCTCAACTGGAAAATTCTTGAATGAATTTCCCTTTTTAAAACTTGTCCCTTCAGCTTTTGATGTCAGCTCCAAGGAAATTAAGACCATTTACCTTTTCCAAGTTCATGCTCTTCAAGGTGGCATCCATAGACTTCACGACCCCCGCCATTGACTTTGTAACCTGAAACAAGGGGAAGGAAATTATTACAAGGGAAAAGGAGCAGTTTAGGAACAAATCCTTCCCTGTGAGGGTGG